GACATAATGATGTAAGACGTAAAGCGACAGAAAATTATTTAGGAACAGCAAATAAGAAAAGAAAAGCATACGATGAACATTTATATAAATTAGCAGAACAATATAAAAAAGGAGATTGTCTTGGTGTGAGAATTCATGAGGTTGATCGAACAAATACAGATCCAAAAATATTACCTTGTATAGTTGTGGCAAAAGAAAAAAAAGACAACGACTTTATTTTTCATTTATGTTGTCAATATGGTTTGTTACAAAACAAATTTTCAATCGAAAGTCTTATTGATCTGAGATCAGCTTGCCCTGACGAATTGAAATCACTCAATGTATTTGAACTTGATAAAGAAATTTCTTTAATAGAAGCATCTAAGCTCTTTGTTCGTGGTTCAGTCAGTGGTGCCACTTGCGATTGTAAATCGCAATGTGCAACCAGACATTGTCCTTGCCGAAAAGCAAATGTTGCTTGTTCTACGAAATGCCATTCAAAACGAGGTAAATGTCAAAATACAAAATGATAATAACAAAAAAATTGGTATTCTTTCTCTTTTCACTTTACTCATCTTGCACATATAGTTCTATTTTGTTCTTGCTGGTAGTGTTGTTCTATGATCTTTTTGTTGCTTGCCTATAGATTGGCATTTGAACAACTCTAATCTGAAAGCTGTATATAGCTGTTTTTGTTTCATGATGGTTATTCTTTCTGCAGGAGAAAATTGATAATTGTTATATTGCTGCTACTCACTGTACATATTGGAGTACTCGCTTGAGTACAAAAAACATTAAAAAAACAAAAAATACTACTTAGATATCATGCCACCTTTACGCGGTTAAGTAGATAAGTATTTTGTAAAGGCTAGAGTAAACAGAGTTAGCTCTAAACTGTATCTCTAGCCTCTACCAAAGAAACTAAGCGCATGATGATAAAATATTATGTCTTAATCCGACTTTTGTCTAGACCTCCACAAATCTGAAATTTGCCTAAATTCCAGTTTTTACTATAACAAATATAACATTTTCAGACTAACTTCTAGTCGAAATTCAGTTTGACATAGCCAAATTTGAGTTTTGGCTAAATTTGAGTTTTGGCTAGCTAAATCAATTGTCAGCCAAAACTCCAATTTAAGTTTTGCCTAGCCCAAACTCCAATTTGAGTTTTGACTAAAGAATCGTTAGGCAAAACTTCAATTTGAGTTTTGCCCAGCCAAAACTCCAATTTAAGTTTTGGCTAGCCAAATCTCAAATTTGGCTGAATTTGAGTTTTGGCTACAACATATACACGCGTTTATTCATTTTGCATTCGCAGTTATCTTACTCTATTTCATAATAAAAAGACATATCTATCGAGATCAGTTAAGTAAATATTCTGTTAAGTAAGTTGGTTGTTGTATTATACACCAACCGTTGCTGAGATCCACATGTTCCACGACATACCTAAAAGAGATCTACATCAGAGCTACTACAGTTAAGCCACAACCCAACGTGCTGAATCGCGGCTTGTGCACCTGTGACGAACGGCGCTTGACCATAATGATTAATGATATTCAGACGACTAGCGATAACATCCAAATGAAACTGAAAATAAGGTTGACACAAAAAGAAATAACACAGTTCGAAGAATACCTTAGGGATTTATTTCTGTGGAGTTTTGAAGAAAAGCTAATAGTGAGACAACCAAAAACATTAGAGTTAGATTAATTCAGTGGTGTGTTGATATCATCAAATCGATGGAGGAACCATTTGGCGAAATGTCGCCTGTGAAATTGCTGATGGAAACTTCTCTCGATCTGGCTCAGTTGTCTGACGAAGTTGCGTTAGATGCTCAGGCACGGAAATGATGCTCTTACGAGGGAACCTACTCAGGTGTTCACATCCGTTTTCTATGATGTTATGCCAATAAACTACTGTTCTTGACAATTTCAAGATTAATAATAAATTGGATTATTGTTTCAGATTGAAAGCATCTTTACAGCGATTATGATATTCTTAAGATTTCTTCTTTCTTCTGTTTAAGATGCTTTGAAACGGAAACCGCAATGTAATGTAAGGTACCGGTTATGGAAAACACCATAGACGAAAAGTAGTACGTAAGGTGCACTTAGAGCAATCTTGCACATCAATTTCTTTTTGACTTTATTATACATATTCTTGTTCAGCGCATCGAGCTGATCACTAATTTAACCTTCCAAGCCCTCAAAACCCCTTTCTTCACTGAGAAGGTCTGAAAAACGCTTTTCAGATTTTCTCAGTGAAGGAGTTTTTGAGGGCTGGGAAGATTATATTTGTGATCAGCTCGATTCTCTGAACAAGAATATGTATAACAAAATCAAAAAGAAATTGATGTGCAAGTTTGCTTTAAGTGCATCTTACGAATAACAGCAGAGGCATTATCTACAATTAATAATAAAATACGCCTTTCTTCTCTTACCTTATCACTTATACGATAGTTTTCAATGGATAAATAAGAATCGTTACTAGCTTCCGAAGGTCGTATTTCGGTAGGGTTAAAAAGTCGTTCATGTGTAACGAAAGTTTGGTTTGACGTTGAGTTTGCGTCGAGCGTAACAGTCTGAAGTGAAATGTACATGTCTGAATGATTATGTGTTTGAAGGCTCTTCTAACATTCGATATATCAAGTTGACTGAAACATATTGTAAAAGGATAAAGTGATGAGATTTTCCTCGAGATAGAGCACTAATAATTATAATGCTTGGTGGATTGGATTTAGAAATATTGATATCGACGGAAATATGCATACTGCTTGAAGTAATCGAGAAGTTTAGTCTGGGAGTGGATTGATTTAATATCTTCACGGGAACTCTAGTTTCTGGTATCGAAAGTCAGCCTTCCCATCCCTTACAATTCATTGAAAATCTTATTAGTCTGACTAATAAAACTTACTGTGTAGACCTGTGGTATAAAGGTAAAACGTCTGTTTGTGCTGGCACCATTTCCGATATGAATCTTACTTACCGCATGAGAAATATGTAAGGTGAACAACAACAATTGACCCCATTTTCTTTTTAATTCTTTTCGATATCAGCAAAAGCTTTAAAACAGACGCTTCAACGCCAAAGTGTCGCTCTACCACCTGATATTATATTCGGGTTCAGTGTAAAAGTCTAAAAAAGAAAAACTACGCATTTAGCTCTTTTATTGTCGAAAACTACAAATAATATTAAGGAGAAAAGGTAATAGCGCATCGTCACCCAGACGAGAATAGATATTGTAAAGATATCTAGAATAGATATTGATACGAGAATAGATATTGTAAAAGCAGAACAAAGATGATACTTATTGATGTAAAACAGAACATTATCTCTATCATTTTATCGATATCATTTTATTTCTATTAACTTCAACCGAACATCCTAGGCTATACAAACAAAATAAAGAGAAATAGTCTTACTTTAAATTAAAAAGTTTAATCAGTTTTCTGTTGGAAGAGGGTATTTTATATAATGAAAGGGTCAGCGTGAATAAAAAAATAGTTCGATGAATATTGTTTACTATTATTGTTGTGGTGAAAGCACAAAGCTAATTTTGTCTGCATA